TAGCTCTAGGACAAAGCATGAGAATAGAAGATGGAGGCATCCATTGCCGGATAAAAGCCTGGAATGAGGAGGTACAGGTTGGTGTCCAAAATTATTCAACCCCCAATGCTGTAAAGGGGTTTAGGGACTATAGTGTACATTTGGAATTGTATTCAGAATCAAATCCTACAAGGACGTTGTAACTACCCCAAATGCAACTAAAATGACATCAATTGTTTATGTAATACAGTAGTAAATGGTTCTTATGTGGTTTCTTCATTGCCACAATTATTCAACCCCTTAAAGACTACCACTCTGAAGAACAGAGGTTCATACAGGTGCTTTCCATCAGGTATTGAAAACACCTGTGGATGTCACCGAGCAGCAATCAAGCATAATAAGCACCAATTAGGCAGCTTTAAAATGACTGTGATACTCAGCTCCTTCTAGACATTTACTGGTGTGGTTACAAACATGGTGAAGGCAAGAGAATGGTCCAGGAAGACAAGAGAAGAGGTGATTTCTCTTCACAGGAAGGGCAATGGCTATAAGAAGATTGCAAAGATGTTAAACATACCAAGAGACACCTTAGGAAGCATCATTCGCAAATTCAAGGCAAAGGGCACTGTTGAAACGCTACCTGGTCGTGGCAGAAAGAAGATGCTGACTTCGACTGCTGTGCGCTACCTGAAGCGTAGAGTGGAGAGAAGTCCCCGTGTGACTGCTGAGGAACTGAGAAAAGATTTGTCAGATGTGGGTACAGAAGTTTCAGCCCAGACAATAAGACGCACACTGCGTAATGAAGGCCTCCGTGCCAGAACTCCCAGGCGTACCCCCTTGCTGTCTCCAAAGAATAAGAAGAGTCGACTGCAGTATGCCAAAAGCCATGTGGACAAACCACAAAAGTTGTGGATAGTGTTCTGTGGACTGATGAAACAAAATTAGAACTGTTTGGGCCCATGGATCAACGCTATGTTTGGAGGAGGAAGAACAAGGCCTATGATGAAAAGAACACCTTGCCTACTGTGAAGCATGGTGGAGGGTCAATCATGCTTTGGGCTGTTTTGCTTCTGCAGGTACAGGGAAGCTTCAGCGTGTGCAAGGTACCATGAATTCTCTTCAGTACCAGGAGATATTGGATGGAAACGTGATGCAGTCCGTCACACACCTGAGGCTTGGGAGACGTTGGACCTTTCAACAGGACAATGATCCCAAGCATACCTCCAAGTCCACTAGAGCATGGTTGCAGAGGAAAGGCTGGAACATTTTGGAGTGGCCATCGCAGTCACCAGACTTAAATCCGATTGAGAACCTCTGGTGGGACTTAAAGAAAGCAGTTGCAGTGCGCAAGCCTAAGATAGATCGCTGCAAGACACTTGTGTCAAGCTATGCTTCACGTTAAAAGCTGTTATAACTGTAAAAGGATGCTGTACTAAGTACTAAGATTGAATGTCACTTGGGGGTTGAATAAAACTGATAATGCTGTGAGCACAGAAAAGACATTTGTGGTTATTTCATTATAACTGTTATGTTATATTTGTCTGACCTACAAGTGCCTCTTTAATGTAAATGTAAGCAAGATGACTGAATGATCAAAAGCAATGTCAAACTGGCCAAAACACTCAATTTCAGTGGGGGTTGAATAATTTTGGACACAACTGTATGCCATGAGATGGGTTATGGGGTGACTGTAAGGTGTATCAGAACTTAGACTGTCCCAGATAGATGGGTAGTGTGACGGAGCGTAGGCAGGACAGAACACACAGAGTAGATGGCAAACGCACAAAGCTTTATTGAGACAAACAGGGCAGTCACCGAATAGGGAAGTTCGCAGGGAGGGTGAATACGCCAGTCCAGGATGACACGGAAGGACCAACACACTTAAAGTCCAGCACCGAGAGCCAAGGGAGAGTCTCTGTAGCAAGTAAAGTCTTCCCCAGCTGTGGGAGAAGGGGGGTCCTAGGCAGCCTTGGGTCTCTGCCAAGCCTGGCCACGAAAGGTCCCGTCCACAGCTCTCGGGCTCCTTCCGTCAGCTACCCAGTGGTGAATACCTTGGGAGCTCTGCATCAGCTTCTGCATCGGACCCCCCTAGTCAACTAGGCAACCGGGGGGGGGGGGGGGGGCAGAGCTAGGGTGGCTCAAGCTTGCCTTAGGAATTCCTTTCATATTTGCAGGAGGGGGGAGGGGCATAGATGAGAGATGGCAGAGAGAGAGCAGGGACAGAGAAGGGAGGGCAGCTGTGACAGGTAGTGTTGAGTAATTAGGTCTTGCAGTGAGCAATGGTCTCTGGAGTGTAGCCATAGTAAATTGGCAACTGATAAGGGGGTCACAATCTACTGACTCTATAGCGACCCATGGGGGGGGGGGTCACTTTTACTGCATGATATTTAGGGAGTTGAGCAAGATGTGCAGCTTGGAAATATTTTTCAAAGTTCAGAAGCCCCAGACCACTCTAAGTTTCGGAAAGGTACGGATGGACCTGGGTAGATGCAGTTTAATAGTGCCCCATACATAAGTGGTGCCGCGACACTAATATGCAGAGGAAACAAAAAGGTATATATATGGGTAGGACCCAATAAAGGTATAATATTTTGGGCAGAATTGTCATTTTTTTACAATCATGATACAACCCATCCATGAGAGGGGTAGTTTGGACCAGGATGTCATAAGATTAGTAAGGTGTGTTAACATAGGAGGGTAGTTAGCAGAATATAGAATATTGAGGTCTGCCATCAGCTTGGGTCCTAAATCAGGAATATATTGACTGGACCAAGAGAAGGGTGGAGGACGTTGTAGTTGTGACACAGTAAAGGAGGGTAGAGAGATATTAAGATCTGTAGACTTTTTGGGATTCACAACCAGGTCCGAAATCGCTGCAAATTGGTCCAGGCATTGGAGAAGGTTGGGTGCTGAGATCAAAGGAGAAGACATGAAGAGAAGATTGTCATCAGAGAAAAAGCATAACTTATGATGATGACCGCCAAGTTCTAATCCTTTAATATTTGTGTTAGTTCTTATCAGCTGTGCTAAAGGTTCATTCGCTAGAAAAAGGAGGGGGGGGGGGGGGCAGCCTTGCCTCATTCCCCTTTGTATGGAAAAAAAGTCTGACTTGTAACCCACATACCTCAAGTAAGCCCTTGGGGAGGTGGTGTAAAGGGGTGATATCCATTGGAGTCAAAGGCTTTTTTTATGTCTAAGGAAAGGAAACAGCCGGGTATGCGGCGTATGCAAGCTGCATGTTCTAGCAAAATCACTCTGTGGTCTTGGCTTGGCAGAGGGGGGTTAAAACCCATCTGATCCTTGTGTATCAAGGTGCCTATGATGGAGTTCAGCCATGCAGATAGGATTTTTCTAGGATTTTTTAACATCCAAGTTAAGAAGGGAGATTGGTGTGTAATGAAGCCATGTGTGGTGTGATCTGATTGGGGTTCAGGTAGCATAGAAATGACTGCTGTTAGGGAGTCTGAGCAGAAAGAATAACCTTTGAGTAAGGAATTAAATGCATTAACCAATAAAGGTGGAAGGAGGTTAGTAAATATTTGGAATATAGGGCTGTAAGCTGTCTGGGCCAGGCCGCTTATTAGACTTTAGGGACTTGATGGAGTTCGGGACCTCAAGTTCTGTAATAGGTGTTTCCAGGGAAGAACATTGAGAAGCTGAGAGTGTTGGTAGAGATAGGCTTGAGAAAAGTTCAGTGGCCTGCGATTCATCATAGGAGCCGGTCTCAGAGTATAATTCTGCTAGATGTTTGTGGAAGACCTGTAATATTTTATTAGGATGGCTGGTGTGTGAAGTTTTTGTAATCTTTAAATGGACAAGTCTGTGTGTGTGGTCTGAGGTTCGCAGTCCCAGGGCTAGAAAAGTGTCAGGTTTGTTTGCGTTCATATAATGTTTATGCCTGGATTGGCGTAGAACTTTTTCATCTGATTCTGTCAAGAAAACATCTATTTCTAGCCTGGTCTTGTCCAGGACAATCTATGAGAAGGTGAGGGGTCTGATTGGAAGGCTTTGTTGGCCTGATGAAATGAGGTTTCTAAGCGGTGATGGATTGCTCGCTGTCCTTTCTTGAGATGTGAGGCTTGGCTGATACAGGCTCCTCTGATTACAGACTTATGGGCTTCCCAAAAGGTCAGGAGAGAGATGTCATCAGTTGTGTTATGTGTCAGGTATTCTTTGATGGCTAGTTCAATGTCCAGTCTGTGGGATGGGTGGGCCATTTAGACTCCATGTAGTGCTAGTTTGTTGGGGTACCAAGGAGGAGAGGGTCAAGAGGACAGCTTTGTGACCAGTCCAGGGGTAAGGTATGATGGTTCAGGATAGGAGGGCTGGGGACATACCTCTAGTCAGAAATATATGGTCAATGTGGGAGAAAGTTTTATGTGGATATGAGTAGTATGTATAGTGTCTTCTAGCTGGGTTAGCTTCTTGCCATGTGTCTATGAGAGAGCGTTGTTGGAGTTGTTGCTGGAAGGAGGATGTGGATGGATAAGAGGTTATGGGGGATTTGTCTAAAAAGGGATAAACTAGCTGATTGGAATTGCCACATAGTAAAAGTGTACCTAATTTATGGGAATCTATTACTTGTAGCAAATGGGAGTTAGGACTGCAATTGGGGCATAGTATGAAGCTATAGTGATCTCTGAGTCTAGGAGGTGTCCCACTAGAAAATATAACGGCTCTCTGGGTCCCAGATCCCTGCCTTGGGTGTAAAGGGAGTAGAGCAGTGGAAAGCTTTGAGTACACCTGTGTGTTTAGTTGCGGCAGAAGCCATATAAACCTGTGGGTAGGAAGAGCTGAGATATTTCGGCATATGGCTGGCAGTGCAATGAGTCTCCTGCAGGCACACCACATGTGTTTTGGCAGAGGCAAAGGATTTGAAGGCCTTAATTTTTTTATTCCTTGAACATTCTGGGTAAGTATATTTATTGGAGCCATGATAAAGGACAGATGCAAAGCTGATTGTAGGTGTGGCATCATGGTGACATCATCCCCCTGGGGTAGGAATAAGAGAAAGAAAGGAGAGAAGTGGGGGGAAGCAAGGTTAGTAAAGAGAGAGAAATGTCTGACAAAACAGGTCAGGAGGCCAAAAGGCCATGATGTGAAAACAGGTAGGTTGTCCATCTGATTGGGGGCACAGTCTCTGATGGGGGTGCTGCTTCAGATTGAGTGCGGCTTAGAAGGAGTGCATAGAAGAAGCAGTTAAACACAGCAGTTGAACTTAAGCAGGAGAACTCAAGCAGCAGGAAGACACAACAGCAAGAAGTTCTACTGCATGCTGGACAGACTGCAAGCAAACATCCCGGGAAACCTCTTACATGCCTGAGTCCCACTCCGTGTACCTTTATATAATATGCCCCTCTTCTCCTTATCATATTACTATCCTCTGTTCCCAAATCTCATTTCTTTACCCCTCTGCTCCACCCCACAACCTGTACATCTCCCCCTCACTGCTATCATCTCCCTACTATTGCTCTCTTCACCTCCCCAAAATGCCTCTTCCACTCCTCCTTCTCATTTTCCTCTCCTCCGTTCCCAAAATCCATTCACTATATCCCTCTGCCCCTCCCAAACAATTGTATATTGTGTCCTCACTGCTTCCTTCGCCCCTCTATGGCACCCACCACCTCCTCCTATTACTCCACTCTCCCACTGACCCCAACACCTCCACTAGTAGTTTCTCACGCTCCTGCACATCCCGCTCCCATGCCACCTTTCTCACCCTTCTCCTCCTCCTAGCCGCGGGGGACATCTCCCGAATCCTGGCCCTCCACCTCCCTCACTCGCTCAAACACCCTCCCACCTCCACGTCCTACTGCAACCCCCACAACTTAGTATCTGTCCCCCTGCTCCCTAAAATCTCCCCTTCATTTTCATGTGCACTCCTGAATGCCCGATCGGTGTGCAACAAGCTTACCGCCATCCACGACCTCTTTGTTTCCCGCTCCCTCAACCTCCTAGCGATCATGGAAACCTGGATCCAGCCCACTGACTCTACCTCCCCTGCTGCACTCTCCTACGGAGGTCTCACCTGGACCCACTCACCCAGGCCTAACGGTCGCAAAGGTGGTGGGGTTGGTCTGCTCCTGTCACCGCAGAGCACCTTCCCGAGTCCTCCCAAACCCCCTCCCTATCCTTCTCCTCCTTCGAGGCCCACTGCGTCCGACTATTCTCCCCAACCCCCCCCTGAAGATTGCTGTGTGATATACCGGCCTCCTGGATCCATACCCCGCTTCCTGGATGACTTCTCCTCCTGGCTACCCTTCTTCCTCTCCTCTGAGCTACCCACAATAATTCTTGGGGATTTCAACATCCCTGTCAACCTCGACAACCCAGACACAGCCCGTCTCCTCCACCTAACCTCCTCCTTTGCACTTGCACAGTGCATACAATCCACCACCCCACTTCGATGGAAATATCCTGGACCTTGTCTTCTCCAACCGCTGCGCTCCCCACAACCTCACTAACACCCCCTTCCCTCTCTCTGACCACAACCTGATCACCTTCTCTATCTCCTCGTCCTCCAACGCCTACCCCTCCAAATGTCACACTACTACCAGCCGTAACCTCCGCAACCTTAAACCCTGCCTCCCCTCCACTCTGCAGCTGATCAACTCCACATCCTCCCCCTGGCCTGCCCTGACTTGGCTTTGACCGCCTACAACAATGCACTCTTCACAGCCCTTGACTCACTAGCGCCTTTAACCACACACAACATCAGACCCCGACCGCTCCAGCCTGTCATGGAAATTTTGTATTATTGGTCGAACTTTAAATGTGTCATATATTCGTGTTATTCATATGTCTCTCGTGTGGCTTAATTAAAGCTCTGAAGGCTGCAATTGGGCCATGCCATGTACAATGTATGTATTACAGTACTCAGCTTGGTAATGGATGAGATGGCAGATCTGCGCTTATAGACCGGCGTGTATACCACCACGGCATTCCATGCGAATGCTGCTGTCAGTAGACCGTGGGCCTGTATCCACATATCAGCAGCATAGTACCACGTGGGCTTCATAACGCAATGCGCAAGCGGTGTGAACTCCGTGTGTAGGCTTATGCATATCTTACAACCCATTACTAATCTGAACTGTATCTCGGATGGATGTGTTTTAATAAAGATCGTATCGGGCCCATCCAGGTACAGACTGATATTTTTAGGGAGTGCTTGTGCAGAGAATTTTGCATACCAATAGAAGCTAGTAGGACAGGAAATATGACCTCAGATGGCTCATAGGGGGGAAGGGGAGGAAGTCTGCTGACCTCAGAAGACTCATGGGGGAGGACCAGTGATAGATAATAGCAAAGGCTATGCTCCAATTGGAATGTACATCCTCTGTATAGGCAATCCCCATTGCATTGTTCGGTGGGAGGGGATTGACTTTATTCATGTGGGGGGCATGTGTGTATTTTTTAATAAAACAGAGAGCTGGGTCTAAAATCAGCCCTTATGTGAGTTGCAACAGCATCCTGAGTGTCGTTTGATCATTCTAGGGTAACGGAGCTCCACCCCCACATTTCAACAGAACCAAAGTATTTGGATGGGCAGGAATCGTGTAATTTAGTTGCAGTCGTGGTAAGCGAGATTCGCACAGCTTTATGGGGGATTTCTGCGCATCCAACTGCGAGTACTCACGGTAAGGAGAAATTCGATAAAGCGAATTTCCAAGACAGTTTGGCGAGCCTGGTGGCTACTAACGCGTATTCTTGCGTAGCTAACCAAGAACGAGGGGGGGAATGAACTATCATGAACTAGCAAAAAGTATGCCGGCACATTTCAGGTCTCTCTGCCATTAAGAGGATCGCTTTTTGCGTGTTCGTGTGGCTGATTTCGCTCTCTGTTAGCTAACAAGAAATACCGCTTGGCAAGGACCTCATTTTTTGTCCTAAACTCTTGATTTGTGGGTGAAAAGACGAGGGTTTGTCTCTGCTGAGAGCAGCAGGGGGGTGGGTTTGGTTGGCTGGATTTGGTCAATTTTAAAAATCTTCCAACCAAAAATTAAACGGGTATATGTTTTAGTGTGGGTAAAAGTTGTTGCATAGTGTTAGGTAAGTATTTGTGGGCTGTAGGTACTGTGGTAATTGCTCTACCCCCCTCCCACGTGAGGTAATTATTACAGTGCTGAAAGGCTTAGGTTAATTGTTAACTGCTGTAAGATCTGTGTTATGTGGTCTGTACAATGTGTTTTGTGGTACTACTGCTCCCAGCAAGCATGCAGCAGGGGGTCCTTTCTGCTACATGTGCATGTTAGTGTGATATGTTGGTGTTTTATGTCCGTTCTGTGATTGTGCCCAAATTGTGTTGTATGTGTACTTCATATTGTTGTGTAATTGTCCAGTGTATGTTCTGTCTAAAAGTCTGTTTTATGTAAGAGGCAATTTTGAGGCTAGAGTCTGCCGTGTGCTTCCCTGTGGGGGGTCATTCTAGTGTTACCATGTGCTTCCCTGTGGGGGGTCATTCTAGTATCTACCATGTGCTTCCCTCTGGGGGGTCATTTTCTTGACTAAACCACATGGACTCCTTTTGTTTGGTGGCCATTTTGTTGACTACCAAATGTGCAGTAATCTCTATGCAATGTGCATGAAGTTTCCTATATGCATTTGACCCATATTGTGTTTTTAATCCAAATTTTTTACAGTTTCATTTGTTTTGCTTTTAGCTTTAAATTTGCGTATTGCCAGCCAATTTAAAGTGTATTAAGCGAGTTTTTCCCTTCACGTGTTCCACATTTAATGAGCGCGGTGTAGTCTGGGTTTTTGCACATAGATTTCTTGTATAGTGATTATGTTTTTCTTGTGTTTTTCCTGTTAAAAGTAGTTCCTTATTGTAAAGCGGGTTTGTTTTAAGCTGCTGTGTCGCGTGTTTCACGTCCAGCAGACTTTTTGTGTAAACGGTTCTAGGGGGTGGTTGCAGTAAAGATTGCGTGTATAACGTGGATCGTTTAGCGGTTGTCTGATAGGAGTGATTTTTTGCGTCAGCAACAAGGTTACTTTTGGCGCAGTTTTTTCGGTTTTACCTCGGTGTAATTGTTTTACTGTGAAACGTCCCGTGTTTTTCATAAGGATCCACTTTGTCCTTTTTAACAGTTTTTCAGGTTGAAAAAGGGTTTTTCTGTGTGTATTAGGAAAGTTTTTTTTTCTTTTACACAAATTTCCTAAAGGTCAGTTAGCAGGTTTCTGCCCAACCAGTGACCCGAAGTAACATCCAAGAACCCTCTTTTTGTTTTGACTTGTGTTAGCTACTGTGTGCAGGGAGAGAAAAGCCACTTTCATCATTGTGCGGTGTGGCCTGCCAAACACAGTGGGGTGATGAAGAACCACATAAATTTACGCTGTGCGAGTGGGCGGTCCAGGGAAGTATAACACTTAGCCTGGTTACCACAAACACTTCGGGTGGTCAGGATCACATAAATTACGCGCTGTGGGAGTGGGCGGGTCCAGGGAAGTGTAACGCTTAGCCTGGTCACCACAAACACTTCGGGTGGTCAGGATCACACAAATTGAGCTGTGGGAGTGGGAGGTGTGCTCTCAGTCTGACCGCCACTTGATGCGCTTCGGGTGATCGATAAGTATCACATAAATTACGCTGTGCTGGGAAAGTGGTGGAATCAGGCCTCTCGGTAGGATCCCACCGAGTGCTCCAGGGGGTAAACATGTTACCCGGACGCGGGATATATACCAGTGACTAGTCACGATGGGCAGTAGTCAGTCCATGAAGAGAGAGGGGAACCAGCCCTCCTTCAGGGTAAGGACAGCTGCAACAACTGGATGAAGGTGAGTTTGGGGGGGAAGTCTACAGAACCCCTCAAAAGGTGGAATAAATGGTCGAAGGGTACCAGATGGGAAATTCCCCGGGAAGGTAACATTTGACGCATGGAGGTGGGAAAAAATTCATCTCTGAATTTGGACCACGGATGCAGGCGTCAGAACTAGAGATCGCACAGCTATGGCTTCACAGGTCAATCCGATTAGGGAGGCAGGGCATACATAAACTGGTGTCTGTCCGGAAGAACCAGGTGATGTATACCTGGCCTCCAGAGGGAATAAAACAGGAGGATCCGGTTTGTCAGAGGTGGAGGAAGCTCTTTCAGGGCTGACTCTACTAAGGCAGGCAGGATCAGGGTCTGCTGGGGTTCCCAACAACCAACAGTGGCTGAGATAAGTATAACTGCACCTGTCCTCTTCTGTTAGTGACGTCACTCTTGACATACCTTCTGTGTCTTCTGTCTCTATGCCTCAGCCTCTGCCTCTACCTCTCCTTCTCCCTGCTTCACCCCCAGCTCCTTCTGTTTCCAACTATGAAGCCTACTCAACAACCGATTTGCAGACTATCTGTGAATCAAGGGGAATAGACACCCGGTTAAAAAACAGGGCGGATTGCATCAAAGCGCTACGA